TTTATGCTGGGGATTGAATACAGGGCTTTGCCAGTGAGCTGTATCTCCATCCCAGTTGAATTATTTTAAATCATACCAGGTTATTGACCAATAAGAGAAAGGGAGATGACTAGAAAATTAGAAATACACTAATGTGTGTTTCTTTTAACATGTAGCTCTTAGAATTGAACACAGGTGCTCCACTTGGAGGACTATACAAAGGATATTCACCATAAGGAAGTTGTTATTGTATTATACATGAGACTTATGGGTGGTAAAATTATTGAAGTTTAAAGTAAAATACTTTTAAACTTATGGACTAATATGTTGTACTTAAGAGTATTGGTTGCATTATTGAAGCAACTCTTTGGTTACATAAGGAAAAAATACAAAAGACAGATTTTTTTGTGTGTGTGTTAATCAGTTTGGAAGTTTTCTATCCTCTCACCAGTGTATTTAAAAACTATCTATGTGTGTTAAACGAAGTAAGCCAGGTTCGGAAAGACAAAGGTCACGTTTTTCCAAGTGGAATCTAGATCCGAAAGATAAATGTATACACAAATGCAAACATGATTATGTATACATAGCTATATAAAACATGTTTGTAATAGTGGGACTGTTTAAGGGGACTAAAGGGAAGAGGGAGAGAAAAACAGAACAATAGAGAATAATAATACTGAAATACATTGTATCCTTATAGGAATATGGCATAATGAAACACACTGAAAGTTGTTGAATAATAGGGGCACGGGGAAAGAAGAGTAATGGAGGGGGTTAATCTGATTAAATATATTCATGGGTAAAATACCATGGTGAGACCTTTTTGAACAATGAATATCCACTTTAAAAATGAAGGACACACATATGAATAATAAAAGAAAAATGAAAAAAAAAAAAAATAAAAAATAAAAAAAAAATTCCTTCAAAAAAAAAAAAAAATAAAAAAATAAAAATGAAGGACAGGAATGTAAAACCAGTCCTGTTAGGGGATTGGTACTAGTGGGATGGGAAGGGTGAACCTCTTGGAGAGGTTATTGGAGGGTAAATATGGTTGATGTACTTTATATACGTCTATGAAAATAAACAACGACAGCTGTTGAAATTGTTTTAAGGATAGAGGGAGAGGGATGAAGGAGAATGTTACAAAGTACATTGTAAACATGTATGAAAATGTCACAATGAAAGCCCCCTGAGAAAATGTTAAAGCAAGCAAACAAACAAAAACTATTCATGTGTGAAAGAATCCACTAGTGATTCCTTCTTATAGCTGTCCTTATAGTTATTCTAGATGAGTCATGGATTATCATATAGCTGGTTTCTTACTCTTTCCTTTGTTTCTTTTACTTTAGTCCTAGTGGCCACCTCGTTCTTCTCAAGCACACACTAAGTGCTTCCTTTCCTAGGTCTTTGAATTTACTGTCCTGTCTGTGTCTGTCTGCAATGCTCTCTGCTTATTTGCCTGACTTTCTTAGTCATTTATCATCTAAATGGACAGGCCTTCCATGACAATCTTATGTAAAATATTACTCTCCATTTCCCATTATCAAAACGTATTTCATTATTGTGCCTTTTCATTCTTTTTAGGACTTAACCACTTTTGTCATTTTTTTTTTTTTAATTTGTAGGGTGTGTTCAGTTCTTCCTATTAGAGCAAGGGCATTTAATTTTCATAGTTGCTATACTCTCATGGTCTCAAATACAGTACTTGGCCCATAGTAGGTACTGTAAAATATTTGTACAATGAATGAACATTTAGCACAGCATTCATTTGGCAGAAGATACAGAACTAAACACTGCAACTGAAATGTTGGGTTACTTATAATCCATTTTTCTTTTTGGAATAGTTATATTTATAATAGCTGAAACCTTGGATGTGATGGCTGTGAACATGACTGGTAAGGTCTTT